CCCCAAAACCCCAAAACCCCAAAACCCCGCAAGTTCGTTAATCTCAATAATCTGGAAATTAAGAAATTTCTTTCATAAGTTATAAATCATTACAATAAATTAATTATATATACATAAATTTAAATTTTTCTTTCGATGATATTTTTGAAGTTTTTCATATTTAGCATCTTTATGCTGCTTTGCTTTTGATAATTGAATGGATTTAATTGTAAGACTTAAAATTCAAAAATTTGATATTAGGTTAAGTTTATGAATACTTTGACTCTGAATTGAATTCTTGTAATCGTATGATTATCAGATATAACCATAATTCTATAGGCTGCACCAGTTTTTTAAAAGGATGTCAAAAATGTCATCTTGATATTGATCTTAAGACACTTGAATGCGATTAGTGCGAAAACGGACTTTATCTGTTAAAATAAAATCAGACACAAGGAAATTTAACTAGCAAATTTCAGCAATGTGTTCCTGAATGTAGTCAGGCTCACAGATCTTTTTCAAACAATTTTTTCAACTCTAGTTGCAGTAGTAAATAATTTATAGATTAGCAATTGTATAGATTGTGGAATATTATGCTCGGACTGCAATAGTATCATTGGATGTTTATCTTGTCAAGGAGAAGTAACTAAAAATGGATGGATTAATGCTTAAAGAACCGAAATCGAACCTTTTCTACCAAATTTTCAAACTTGCCAGAGTAAAATACAATATTAATATTATTTTATTTTATAAGGGTGCGAATCAACTTTTGAATGCTTAAAATGCCAGACCTCCAATGTTACTCAATGCATTGAATGTAATGATCCAATTAATCAAAAGTCTCTTGCGATTGGAGATTTAGAATATCCTTGTTGTATATTCAATCAGTTAAACTTTATTAGAACCCTAAACTTCTTCATCTTTGAGTTCCATCTCTAATTGCCATATTTATAATTACTATGATCAATATAATTGTTTGGTATGCCTTTCAGGCTTCTATTTATCTAAAAATGGTTATTTTAATATTTCAGCTAACAGATACTAAGATATTTGCCAACCAAGTATGTAAAAATCAAGAAAATTTATTTTATATTTAGATGTCCAGACAGACCTTTGTCTTCAGTCAAGATCAGAATTTGTTTGCGATACCTGCATATATGGATATAATACTATCTAAATAGGAGATAAAAAGTCTTGTCACAGTAATAAAATTAAAATTTGAAAATTAATTTTAAATTTTAGAATGCAATTAGTAAAATGGCGCTTAAATCAAAACTCTAAGGTGTGAGTTTGAAATAGAATAATCAACTTCTAATGTTATTTAGAAGAAAATCACTTCATGTCTTGGAGGGTTCGTTGACTTATAAACAGGAGAATGTGTAAGTAGCTGTGGGGTAGGGAGATATGGAAATGTTACCTTGGGCTATTCAGGAATGATTGAATAAACTCTTTGTTTGGACTGCGATTCATCATGCTATGAATGCTCTTCATAAAAAACTTAATGCCTATCCTGCAAAGAAGAGTTCTATCTTGATTCACTAACTAAGACTTGCAAATAGAAGAATGGATTACTTGAAACGACCATCTATGTTTAATCTAAAGACTTTAGCAATGATTACACACCTAATGGGTCAGTAGAATACCCTTTTATATCAATACTTGAAGCCCTAACATTTTCATATGAAATAGGATCACCTTATAAGTCAGCTAATATATTGATCTTGCTGTTTGCTGATCGAGAACATTCCATGCAAAGATATGATTTTGCAAAAACATCTTAATTCCTG